GTTTATAGAAAGCATAGTTATAAAATAACAAGTGTTAAAAAAAACAAAACAAGTGTGAGGGGTGGGTGAGGGTACTTAAACCTGACAATTAGGAAGAGGAGAAAGTAAGAGGCCTGAACAATTGCTCTGAGGGTCAAGGACGGAGGAGTAGGGCACAGGGATATCTGCTGCATAAATCACTGGTTATTGAAAAGTGCTTTCACATTTTGACACGGCCACTTTGCAGAGACGGTGTCTGTACGTGCTGTCCAGGGCCTTTTGGCACAGGGAGCCCACAGGGCCGCAGAGCAATGTGAGGACAGCAGACCCTGAGCCTCTCTTCTGGCTAAGGCCGGTGCGGCTGGCTAGGGGGCCTACTGTCAGGCTCAGATTGCCCTGGTCCCAGCGGCCCCTGTGGAACTCCTGACCACGCATCGACCTCTGGATTCAGCCTTCACCATCGGACTGGCCTCTTTGGGTTCACCCCCAAATGGCCAGCCCTGTGGGGAGGGGGAGGGGAAGGCAGTGCCCCGAAGCATAGGGCAGTGAGGAGCTGCTCAGTGGGGGACTTTCACCATCCAGACAGATACTGCCCACATGGAGAGTGGGCTGTTGAACCAGATAGAGGGAAGGGGCAAGAGCATAGGAGCACAGTTATGACACCCTTTTGCTTCACATCTTTAGGTTGTTCCCAGGGACACGCCCCCCACACACACACACACACACGCCACACCACACCACACCACACCACACCACGCTACACCACCCGTCTTCTGCCACCAAGAACCCCATCTCCGATGTTGGAGGATTCTCTGGTCCTCAGCTACACATTCACAGCAGCGGCAAACCCTGCCACCTAGTGGCCAGCAGGCGGTCCTACCCAACAAGACAAGCTGTCTGGGTTGATGAAAATGACCTCCTGTGATTGCAATGAAAATGCAAGGGCTTAGCAGAAAGCAAATGTTTTGAGAATGATGATGGCAACAAATTACAAATGTGCTTGACCCAAAGGATGGATGGATGGATTGTGATAAAAGTTGTATGAGCCCCCAATAAAATGATTTAGAAAAAAGAAAATGGGGTGGCAGGGTTGGGGTGGGCGTTACTATTTCTGACAAATATTTCCGAGGCCCCCCCCAATAATCTTATCCCCATTTCATTGTGGAAACATGAGACCCAGAGGGCATATAAATGACATTTGTCTGAGGTCATAGGCGACAGGCAGAAGTGATGAATTAGTTGAGCTTTGCAACAACGCCTCCCAAATTTCAGCCTGTGTCAGTATGCCCCGCAGGGCTTGTTAGCGCACGGCTCTGTGGACCACCACCCCAGAGTTTCTGGTTCCGTTAAGTCTAAGATGAGGCCCGAGAATTTGTATTCTAACAGGTTCCCATGTGGAGCTGGCTGATGGCCGCCGGACCACGTGAGTAGCACAGGTTTAGAGTAATGTCTGGCATGTGTTAAGTGCAATGTAAAAATTTACTAGATGAAATAGAGAGGCAGAGTTAGGATGGCACACCCAGGTCTGACTGACTCCAAAACTTGTTCTCTCTTTACAACATCATACACACACACACACACACACACACACACACACACACACACGCACACACACACACACAATCATTTTATTGGGGGCTTTTACAGCTCTTACTGCAATCCATGCATCAATTGTATCAAGCACATTTGTACATATGCTGCCATCATTTTCAAAACATTTTCTTTCTACTTAGGCCCTTGGTATCAGCTCTTCTTTTTTCCCTCCCTCCCCCACCTTCATGAACCCTTATAAATTATAAATGATTATTTTCATCTTATAATTTCTGCTGTCTCCCTTCACCCAGGTTTCTTGTTTTCAATCCCTGGGGCGGGGCGGGGCAGGATGGTTATATGTTGATCATTGCGATCAGTCCCCCCTTTCATCCCCTTCTCCCCCCCACCTTGCCCCTCCCCTCATTGCTACTCCCATTATTGGTCCTGAGGGGTTTATCTGTCCTGGATTCCATGTGTCAAGAGCTCTTATCTCTAACAGAAGTTGAGAGATACAGAAGTAAAAGATAATGGACTGTACCAGTGTACATGTTCTGGTCTAGCCAGATTTGTAAGACAGAACTGGGGTCATGATAGTGGGGGGGGGGGGGACAGTGGCATTAAAGAACTAGAGGAATGTTGTGTATTTTGTCAGTGCTATAGTGCACCCTGGCGGGCTCGTCCCTTCCTTGTGATCCTTCTGTGAGGGGATGTCTGATTGTTTACAGATGGGCTTTTGGACTCCACTCTGACTCCCCTTGTTTGCATCAATATGATTGTTTTGGGTCCTCTGATACCTGATCCCATGGACACCTCGAGATCACACAGGCTAGTGTGCTTCCTCCATGTGGGCTTTGTTGCTTCTCTGCTAGATGGTCGTTTGTTTAACTTCAGGCCTTCAAGACCCCAGATACTATATCTTTTGATAGCCGGGCACCATCAGCTTTCTTCACCACATTTGCTTATGTACCCATTTGTCTTCAGTGGTGGTGTTGGGAAGGTGAGCATCACAGAAAGTCAGGCTATTAGAACAAAGTGTTCTTGTGTTGAGGGAGAACTTAACATATAAATATTATGCTATGTATCCCTCTCGTTATATATGAATAAATTTACATATATGCATATACATGATTATATTTTATACCTCTATGAATTTCATCTGCTTCCTACTTCTTCCCTCTGTTTTCTTTTCTTTCCTTCCGTCTCACCAGCATGTTCAACCTTCATTCGGCTTTCAATAATTCTTCTCATCTACATTGCACTTGATCATACCCCACTTGCATTCTACGTTCACCTTGCCATCAGTTTTAGATCTCTTGTTGTTCCCTTATCCCTGGGTTTGTTGGCTCCCTCCTCCCTTTCCCCCACCCCCTACTTTCCCATGTTCCTCTGGAACTGTGACTCCCATTTTTTTTCTTGGGATTGTAAACAATCCTGCCTATCTTGTATAGATAGACTGGTGGTGGGGGGCACAAAAACGACCTATAAATAGTTCTAAATCTGTCTGCTGATCTTTATGAATGTTTTCCAATCAAGTCTGATAAGGTGCCAAGCCCTGCCCCCATTAGGAGTCTGTTTTGGGGATTCCTCCAGGACTTTGTTGCTTTGTTCCCCTTGCTTGCTCCCTTCTCTACAACATCTTACAATCTCACAGTGTAGACTTTTAAGGCTAAATAAAACTCCATACTTTGTCCTTTGCTTAATAGTTTCTCAGAAAATTGGTAGTTAGTTGGCTAGCTGATGTAGTTTGGGTTTTTATCAGCTGCGGCCTCTGTGAAGTATGCTGGTCAAGGGTGGGATATGGGCAGGGAGACTTCTCAGACTGATGGTCCTACAGAGAGCAAGGTGTACATCCTGCCCTCTGAAGGCATACAGCTAGCCTGGGGACGAGTTATCTTGCAAGGGTGGAGCGCTTCATCAGCTGGGACCCTGGGCTGGAGATAGGCACCAGGATAAGGAGGAAGGCCCAGGCTGTGAAGATATGGCAGGCTCTCCCTGGGAGGAGGCCTGGGGCAGGGCCTGGAGCCTGAGGGAGGCATCTGGGTCAATCAGGGTGCCTGTGCAGGGGTGGGGATGGGGGTGTGTGATATTTGAGATTGGAGGGCAAGGGGAGCGTTCACTGGCCAGATGTCCCTTTAGTACCAGGCTCGGAAATGGCTTTGCTCTCTGTCTTGTTCACAGTCGAGTGAGGCTTTAAAAAGTTCACAGAAAGGCAGAAGTAAAAGATAATGGAATTTACTCCACAAACATTTGGAAATCCCCTTGTACTGTTCTCAGGTGAGAGGTTAGGAAACAGGCTTAGAGCAGAGTCACCTGGCCATCAAATAGTGGAGCAAGGATTTAAGCGCTCATCCAAGTCTCCCTCTGCACGTTGCCCTAAGTGAGGTTGTCCGAGCGACTGGGGGCAGGGTCGAGGCTTAGATGGAGGTTTCCCAGGCTCCCCCAGGTGCGCAGGCAGGCCGGAGGGGCACTTGGCTCCTCATGCTCGCCCTGGCAGGGAACAAAGCTGGTTCGAGAGAGGAAGGTGCATGTTGGGCAGATGGGAAATGAGGTTGTTTGAGGTCCGGTGGTGAAGAACCACCAGTACCAGACCGACGAGTTCAGGTGTCGGGCCGCGGGCAGCTGTCGAGTTCAGGTGTCGGGCCGCGGGCAGCTGTCGCAGCTGTCGGAGGCTTTGGAGCAAGGGAGCGACTGGAGCAGCTGGTGACCTGGGCAGGGTGGACAGTCATGAGGAGCTCAGTGATGTGTGGACTAGAGTGACAGGAATGATGCCAGCCACGTTAGGAACGTCCACAACCCACTCCCATGGCTCACTTTCAGCCAAACTACAGGCAGGTCAGTGAGGGGGACAGTATCCCTGGGGAGCCTCATGTACCTAGGGATAAGCAACCTCTGGTGGGATCAGGGGGCTCGAGTGCCCAGGGGCCACCTTCTGAGGGTTTGAAAGCGGGGTGGACAGACACAGGAAACCAGGGAGGAGGTGGGAGAAGCGAGGGCACAGGGAGGGGCTTGCAGTGGGTGGATTGTTCAGTGCAGAACAGGTGCTGTGCTCTGGAAATGTGCTCCCCATTGACAATGAACAGCTTAAATTAAAAAAAACCCAAAACCTCCCTGAACTTTAGCGTCTACATAAAGCCAGAGGGTGAATCTGACAAATCGCAGCTTCCTGAGGCTTTTCCTAGACATACGCCCGCCCATCTCCTGGCAGAGCCGACTGCTGGCAGGCAGGAGAGGAGGCAAAGGCAGGTTTCATCACATGGTGTTAGGGTCGCCAGGGCAGGGGGGCGAGGGTGGGGGGCTGGTAGGGAGAAAAATGTGTGTGAAGTCCTCTGGGGAGAGGGAGTTGTTGGAAGTCCTGAACGTCTGTCTGATTGGCAGTTCTTCGGGGAGGTTCTTGCGGGACTCGCCAAAGCCGCATGCCGGCTTTGCTTTCTAAAGGCTGGCAGGCCACTTGCTTGACTGGCTTACCTTTCTCTCCCCTTTTTCCTTAGCCTCCCCTCGGACCAGACGCTTCCTCGCCAGGGCCCTAGCCAGTCCCTGTCCTTCCCAGAAAGCTACCAGACTCTTCCCAAGAGCACCCGATACCCCTCGGGCAGCTCCTCACCCCCGCCCCGCAACCTGCCGAGTGACTACAAGTACGCGCAGGACCGAGCCAGCCACCTGAAGATGTCCAGCGAGGAGCGCCGGGCGCACCGGGACGGCACCGTGTGGCAGCTCTACGAGTGGCAGCAGCGCCAGCAGTTCCGGCACGGGAGCCCCACAGCGCCCATCTCTGCAGGCTCCCCGGAGTTCATGGAGCAGGGTCGGAGCAAGAGCATGCTAGAGGTGCCCCGCTCCATCTCTGTGCCTCCGTCTCCGTCTGACATCCCGCCCCCAGGGCCCCCCAGGGCCTTCCCAGCCCGGCGGCCACACACGCCAGCCGAGAGGGTGACTGTGAAGCCCCCTGACCAGAGGAGGAGTGTGGACATCTCACTGGGCGGTTCTCCCCGGAAGGCTCGGGGACACACCATCAAGGTGAGGCTCAGGAATTTCAGGGTCCCCAAGAACATACGTTTGGGTGATTTGGGAGCATGAGGGCTGGCCTTCATGTGGAACCGGGGTGCTAAAGACTTTGTTTTGCTTCACCCTCATTCTTACCGCAGTGAGGCAGGTGTTCGCGTGACCCTCTCAATGCTGAGGTCCCCAAGGCACACACGGAGAGGCCAAGCAGCCGACATCGGGTCACACAACCAGAACGCTGCTTCTGAGCAGCTTGGGAGGCAGGAAAAGAGCCCAGTGGCTGAGCAGCTCGGTTATTTACCATCGCCCCACTGCGGCGCTGCCTCTCCAGCGTGCTCTCTCCACCTCCCCTTGGTAGAGCCCAGGGAAGCTAGTAGGCGCTCCCATTCTGCAGATGAGGAGCCTGAGGCCCAGAGAGGTGAAAGGCCGTGTGGCATTCTGCCTTGGCAGTGCAGGCACGGCCTCCCAGTGACTTCTTGCTCCCCGCCCTGCAGAACTCCTCTCATGTGGACCGACGCTCCATGCCCTCCCTGGGCTACATGACCCACACTGTCAGCGCCCCCAGTTTACATGGGAAATCGGTAAGATGCTCCCCGCCTCCCTCTCCCCGCCAGGGATCTGATAATGCCTACAGAGCACCTTCTCGCCGGGTTTTCACCCCGCTTCAGAGATGAGAAACTGTGGCCCAGAGCCGTCCAACGACTTGTTCAGGGTCATGGGGGAGGAATGTGCAGGAGGAATTCTCTTTGGGGCTGGCTTTTGTCAGAAGCCCTTTTTCAGCCCCCTGCCCAGCTCAGCCCATCCCCTCTCCCCCCTTCCTGGTCATCACTCTGACTGGCGACCTTTGCTTGGGCGAGATTGCACTGTACCTTGGTGGACTCCCGGGGGAGAAAAGGAAACAAAAACTCCTCCCTACAGCCCCTCCTCTGCCGGCGCCTCTATTTGTCCTAATGACGGAATTAATGCACTGATGACTTAGCGGTGCCACATCAGTGTGGTCCCGCACACGGGATGAAGTGTGTAATTAGCGTGCGGGCTCCCGTGGTGGCGGTGGCGGTGGCGGCTCATTTCCCGCCCTGTGTCTACACACCTGCAGCTGGAGGAGCTCTCGCTGCTGCTTGCCCGCCTGCGGCGGCACCAGGCCAAGCTGGCCAGCGTGCGAAATTTCGCTGTCGGCCAGTTCCTGCAGCACCAGCTGACCTTTCCCACCTGCCAGGTCAGCGCTGGTGGGCTCTCTCTGCCCGGCCACTCCGGAACGGGACGGAAGTGACCTGCGTGCCACGCTCGAGTCTGTATTTGCTGGCTGGCTCTCCATGCCTCCATGCCTGTTTGCTTCTGGTTGTGTCTGCCAGTCACAGGCTGGTGGGGAGGGGGAGCCCAGGCCACTGGGCCTGGGGGTGGGGCACTGCATGTGATGTGAGGGACCTGAACAGCTGCGAGTGGCGACTGCCGATTGCCGGGGCTGGCGTGTGGTCGTATCCAAAGGGCTGTGCTGGCTGTTGTCTTTGCTGCCATCCTGGGAACTCCTCGGGCTGCCAATGAGCGTGGGTCAGACTGGAGGGAGAATGCCTGGTGTCCGCCCCCTGCTGCCGTGCCTGCTGGTTCACAAAGCAATTGCTCATGTCATGCTCTTGGACCTCACAGTGACCTACACACACACACACACACACACACACACACACACACACACACAATGACTTGCCCAGGGTCCCTCAGACAGTCAGGTCCTATCTGGCACCATGTTTTAAAGTTTCTGACACCCACGAGCTGCGCTGTAATGCTCCCCGAAGGGTGGCCTGGGAGTCACTTCCTTGGGCTTCTCAGACAGCCTGAAGAAGCTGACTCCTCCGCAGGCTGTCCCCCGGAGGGGGCTCAGGTGCATGAGGCTGGTCCCTCCGGGCTGCACAGAGGTAGGCAGGGGGCAGATGAGGAAGGGAGGGGACTGTCACCTTCCTTACCTCTTTCGTTTTAGAAATGCATTCAAACAAACCAACCTTACCACTGAGTGGAATATGCAAAAGCCATCCCCTCTGGGTGATTTTAGTAACACGTCTCTGCCCTGCACTTCTTACTCCTATGCACAGTGGACCAACCAATGGGGGAAGTGGGGTTGGGGATGAGACAGTTTAAGAGACAGAGATAAGATCTTGCAAGGGACTAGAGGCCCCCACTAGGGTCCTTTTGGCCCTCCCATGTGCTTAAAAGCACAGCCTCAGCATCTCACATCATCTACAGGAAACAAGGACCACGTGGCCCAAGCCTGGCCTGTCGGGGTCTGGGCTCACTGGGCGACCCTCTTTGCTTGTTGAGAAAGCGGTGACTGAACCGTTTTCTCTTCAACTCTCACAGCCCCTCGGCCTCACATGCCGGTTCCTGGGGCCTGCCCACAGGCGAGCCCAAGGTCTGGGGAAGCAGAGCCTTGTTTCTCCCTGCCTGGCGATCATGCTTGTGGAACTTGGCCACGAGCAGAGAGGGCTGACTGGAGCTCTCGTGATTAGCTCCTGGCCTGGCCACACTGGCTCCGCGCTGAGCAAAAAGAGCAAAAATGTCTGCCTCTCGGGAAATGTCCTGCAGCTGCTGGTGCTTGTTCCTCTGGAACCTGATGTGTTTTGGGATTTCCCTGGGTCACCTAGGTTCTCACCCTGCCTCTTCCAGGCACACATCCACACCAATTGGCCGGTGTGTGTGTGTGTGGGGGGGGTGTCCACTTACCTCATGCATTTGGAGTGACCCATTCCCAACGTGTGATGAGAGAATGGGAAATGCTGGTGACTGGTGACACCCAGACTGCTCGTAAAGATGGGCCCTTGTCTAGGTCGACCTCTCTGGTTTTGTCTTGGGAGCTCACCATCCAGCTTAGCTGCACTGCTGGTAACGTGTTACATTGTCACCCTTCCACGTCGCATCATCTCCACCCCCAAAAGATCCGCCATGCTGCAAGGGCTCTCTGAGCTGCAGCAAGAGCACTCATGCTTCGTCTGTGGCCCTGATGTGCTGGTCTGCTGGAGTACCTTATCCTTCAGGCTGCATCGTGGCAATGACCCACACCAGGAGCCCCCGGTGATCATGACCTTGTTGTTTTCTCCTCTGTGCTTCATTTGAAGGTGGATGATACCTACCTCCAGCTGAAGAAAGACCTGGAGTACCTGGACCTAAAGGTGAGTGTGACAGAGACAGAAAGGGGCATGCCATCCTCAGGACTCCCCTTTCTGAGAGCCCCAGCCTCCTGGGAACCAAGGCCCAAGCCAATTATCATGCAGGTCTTACACATCTGGACCCCAGGTGAAGACGTCCCCTGTCTGAATCAGCGGAGTGTCGTTTCTAACAGCCTTCCACTCTGGGCCCTGCTCATGTTCTCGGGAATTCTGCTGTCTGGTCTCTAGGGAAAGAACGAGAGCACAGATCCTGATCTCGCCCTCTCCTGGCTCAGAGACCACAAGTGCCTCCCACTAACAGTCAGGGTCTCAGAGCCTCTATGGAGTGCGTGCGTAAATCATAGGGTGCCACAGGTGTGTGTGTTTGCAGCCACAGGTGTGTGTTTGCAGCCTCACGGCATTTGACGGGTTGTTTGGTGGTATGGCTGTGGAGAAAGTCAGTGACATGGCTTGGTGGCTCTCCAGCCCTGTCTCCATTTGGAAGAGGAACCTTGGGCCCCTGAAGGTGATGGAGCCACAGGTTTTAAACCGGGCGTCCCAGCACAGAGAGAGTGGAGAAAGCTCCCGGGGCAGTGAGGGGCAGCCTGCCTGAGAGAGCTGCTATTGTTCCCACTGTGGAAAACACTTCTTATGCCTGAGCCAGGAAGTTGGTCACACAAGGAATGTGACCTTCAGTTAACTGTGGGTGGGAGACCGCGGGAGATGGGCTGGCAGAGGAACACCCAGATAATTGCTAGGGGGTACGCCTCCCCACCCCGAGTGCCTAGCTAGAGAGAAGGGTACTTTTATTCAACCTCAGAAAGGTGGAGTAACTTGGCCAAGGCCACGGGCGAGCAGCTGCTGGGGGGCCAGGACACCGGTGGAGATCTGACCCTGAGGCCAGTGTTCTTAATTACCTTGCCACATGCCTACTTTTAGAACTCCGCCTTCCTACTGTACCCCCACAGACACGGAGCTTTTCACAGAGCCAGGCCTAGGCCATCCTGCCCAGAGACGTGCTGGGTGGGATGCAGAGAGGCAAGTGGCCTCCTGGGGGAGTTTTACTAGCCAGGGGGCCGTGACCAGAACATTAACTATTGATCAGGTTTCCTGGCAGCCGCCCGGTTTGTCATGGAAAACAGCTGACTGATGCAGGGCCTGGCAGCTGTTGCTCTGGAGGCTAGCTCCTTTTAGGGCTCCAGGCAGAGTGGGCCAGGCGGGGCTTACAAGCTTTATACAAACCGATGTTAGCGCTGCGTGCGAGTCGTGGTTCTGGGGGGCTGCTGGAGAGGTTGGCACCACCTCAGCGTCCCTCCAAGGGCTGGGGTGCCCTGTCCCACTCAGACCTGAGGTGGGTGTCTGAACAAGGAGAAGTGCTAGGACCTGCAGGAGAGTGGCCGTGGGGTCTGTTGCATGGAATGCTTTGCTTGCAAGTGATCAGACGCCAGTCAACCTGCTGGGGCAGAAAGGGAGCATACCAGTTCACAGAGCCAGGTTGTTGTAGGCACTCAGATCTCATCCTCCCTGCTCTGCCCACTGGTGTGGGCCAGCTGCCTCCACAGGGCCTGGGAAGATGGCCACCTATAAGCGCAGGCTCACCTCTTCGCAGGGTGAAGTCCATGTGAAATGAGGGGGAGTTCCCCAAGGGGAAATGTGTCGGGTATAAAGCAGCAGCCACACAGTAGAGTGCAGAGTGTCTGCAGGTATTTGGGCTCTTTAGGGATAAATTCAAGGGAGACATAACACTGAAGGGTTACAGGTATGTTTTCTGTGGCCCGAAGGAGGAAGTAAGACCTGTTTGTAGAAGCTTCAAGGAGTTGGTGTTGAGCTGCGTGGATGGAAGACTTTTATAAAAGGACCACTTCAGGGGGTAGTGACCCCCATGCCCTTGGAGGTACAGCTGAAACACTCAGTGGCTGGGCATGACCGTCTTTAGGGCCCACTGGTCCTTGAGATTCTGTGACATGCTGATAAATGGGCTGCTGTTGAACACAGCTGGGCTCTCTAAGAAGATGAGGGCCTCTGTGCGCACAGTGGGCTGCACCCCTAAGACCACTGCAGGAATGGGAATCGAGCCAGCACGGACCTCTCTGTGACCAGCTCCTTGTGGGACCCTCCCCTGAGAAGTCCCTCCTGGGACCTGGAGGGGGACTAGTACAGAGATGAATCTCCCTGCCTGACATCTGATCAGCTGACAGACACCCCCATCCCCCATTAGAGTGACCTAGGGTCAATCTCCCCATATCCCTGTCCCAATCCAGAACCTATCTTCCCTCCAATCACACAGCAGACCCTTCTCCTGAAGTGAGGGAGTGTCTGCTGGGTGCTGTTTTGTGGAAGGCACTCTATATATCACTGTTGTGCTTAGAAGTGCTGATGGCCTGCACTTGGACTTGGTAGTGCCTGGGTGAAAGGACCTCCGTGCTGGTTAAGTCCTGGGGCAATATTTTGAGCACGGTGTCTCCATTCACTCCGCAATTTGGAGGAAGAAGGATGACCTCCCATGTTTTACTAACCAGGAGCCCCCAAGTATCAGAGAAGCTAAGGAATAGCTGCAAAGTTACGCTGCTGGGAGCCAGGCCTATCAGCTGACCTCACACCTGCGTTTTCCTTCCAAGCCTTGCCCCTTGCCTGCCCCAAAGCTGGATCACTGCCTTGTATCTCGGGTGTCGGTGTCCTCCACCAGGCTGGTTCTGATGAGTGGGTGTGGGGAACCCTTGGTTATTGACATCTGGGTCTATCCCTAGGCAGTTGGGAAGCACAGCCAGAGTGTCTGCAGGCGGCCCAGGTGGGTGAGGCCTTTGTAGAGGTTCTTGTCCCTGGTGATGGACAGGTGATCTTGACGGTAGGTACCTGACCTCTCCATGCTCCCTGTGTCAACCTAGAATCAGAACTTTGGGGTCTGTTTCAAAAGCCAGTTTCTAGAGCAGTGTCTTAGGTTGTGGCCTGACGGCCTCCCATTTCAGGGTTACCTGGCAGCCTGGGAGGGTTCTGTTGAACTAGAGTTGAGGTGGCACAGCTCTGCTGGATGCCAGAAGGTTGATAGTTCAAATCCAGCAGGCGCTCCGTGGGAGGAAAGAGGTGGTCTACTTCTGTAAGGAGTACACCTTGGAAACCCCGTGGGGCAGTTCTTCTCTGCCCTACAGGCTTGTTGCGAGTCAGAATCTTTGGCAGCAATGAGTTTGGCTTCTTTTTTTTTTTAATTAGATGAGTGCTTGCGTGGTGTGTAGTGGTTACTTGGGCTGCTTAATTACAAGGTCATCAGTTCTAAACCACCAGTTACTCCTTGGGAGAAAGACGGGCTTTCTAGTCCTATAAAGAATTCCCGTGTCAGAAACTCACAGGGGCAGTTCTAATCTGCACGTTAGACTCGCCCTGAGTCGGCATGCCCTAGAATGGCAGTGAGCTTATTTTGGGGTGGTGCAAACAGTTGACACACTCAGCGGCTAATAGGAAGGTTAGCTTTTCAAACTAGCCAGAGGCACTTTGGAAGAAAGATCAAGTGTTCCACTTCCACGACACCAGGCACTCAAAGTCCCACAGAGCACAGTTTGACTGGGGAGTGGGGGTGTCACCATAAGTCGAAAGCAACCCAATGGCCACTTAATTTTTTTAAAAATTAGAACCTCTGGTGATGGCACCCAGAATTTTGCATTTTAAAAATCAATCTCTGGCAGTCTGTGTGCATGCTAACAATCAAGGCTGTTGTTCTAGAATTGAGGTTGTGGCCATCCCCTAAGGTTACCAGGGAAGTTTTATTTTGTTTGGGTTTTTTTCTGTGTTTTTTTTAAATCATATTATTGGGGGCCCATACAACTCTTATCACAATCCATACATACATCCATTGTGTCAAGCACATTTGTACATTCGTTGCCCTCATCATTCTCAAAACATTTGTGTTTTTAAAAAATCATTTTATTGGGGACTCCTACAGTTCTTATCACCATCCATACATCCATCCATTATGTCAAGCATATTTGCACATTTGTTGCCCTCATCATTCTCAAATTATTTGCTTTCTACTTGAGCCCTTGGTATCAGCTCCTCCTTTTCCCCCTCCCTCCCCGTACTGCGGAAGTTTTTAAAGTCTCTTCAGATGTTGCTCTCCTTCTTACAAGCTCCCCAGGTGGCCTTAATGAGCAGCCAGGGTTGTGTGGTCCCCGGCCAGCAGCATCGTGGGCAGTGCCCGAGACTTGGTTAGGAATGCCAAATCTCGGGCCCTAGCTGGCCCAGTGAGCCCCTCTGTGGGTAGAGCCCCCCACGGGTCTGGGGGTGGAGAACCACTGTTTCAGGACCCAAAGCCACTCGAAGGAAGGATCCAGTAGTGCAGAGCAGGACTGGTCTGTAGGGCTCCCAAGACTGCAGACGTCACGGAGGCAGACAGCCAGTCCTTCTCCCAGGAAGGGGCTGGTGAATTTGATCTGCTGAGCCTTGGGAGAGCAGCGAGCGCTCTAACCACGGCACCACCAGGGTCCTTTTTGTTTCAGAACAGTGGATCTCAACCTGGCTGCCCATGAGTAGCACATGAGAACCTTCAGAAATCCTGATGCCCAGCCTTACCCGAGACTGTCAGTCTTTTAAAAAATCCCTTATCCTCCCCACACCCCAACTGATTCCATTGTCCAGTCAGGGTGAAGATCCCCTGCCCTACAGTGGGGGGAGGGTCCTTAAAAGCACCTGTAAGCATTGGGGATAGTTGGTGCAATATCATTATTTAGATGCAAGACAGGTGTGGGGACAAGGGCCTGGGGGACTTCAGATGGAACATGTCGGGGCAGAGGCCGTGGTCATGGTGGTGGAATGAGGAGAGGAACGAATGGTATCACTCGATCAGGGTATAGTCCCCAAAGCCGTCCCCAAAGGGGACGCTGAGAGAGCTGTGAGGGTCCCTCTCACCTTCTGCAGCCAAGCCAGGGCAGAGCGGCAGGCTCACAGAAACCAGCCTGTGCCAAGGCCCAGCAGGCAGAGCTGATCAGCAGAAGTCTTGTGGACAGGACACCCATAGCCTGGAAAGGCTGCTCATC